ACATGGCGAGCTTTGTGCGGCAGCTCAACATGTGTGAGTCCCTAGGACCGGGGCGGGAAGTGGGTGCGAGTACCTTGGTGCTCCGGGATGGGGCAGTTTACGCCCCCACGCTTCCCCTCCCTAGACGGTTTTCGGAAGGTGGTGAGCATCGAGCAGGGCGGCCTGCTCAGGCCGGAGCGCGACCACGTCGAGTTCCAACACCCAAGCTTCGTACGCGGCCGAGAACAGCTACTGGAACGTGTGCGGCGCAAGGTGGGGGCGGCCTTCAGGAACCAGCAAACCCGGGTGGAGGTGTCGAGACGGCTGGCCTTGTCCTAGATGACTCTGAATTGATGGTGCCTCCCCCCTGCAGGTGCCTGCGCTGCGCACCGACGACGGCCGCTGGCGCCCCGAGGACTTGGGCCGGCTGCTAGGCGAGGTGCAGGCTTTGCGGGGAGTGCAGGAGAGCACCGAGGCGCGGCTGCGGGAACTCAGGCAGTGCGGGGGAGGGGGCGTAGGAGGGTGGGGAGGGAGAGGGGGAGTCTGGGCGAGAGGACACTGGCCGCCAGGCACTCCTTGTGGACAGCTCCTTCCTCGCTCATGTCTTGGTGCCTCCATCCAGACAAATGGGCTGAGCTGTGGAACTCTGTTCTGCGTGGATGGACGCTCATCCGAGTGGTCGTGGGTTTAGACCTGCCATTCTGTGGGGGGTGGTGACTGGGCGGACTCTCAGATGCCTCAGCACCCTCCCACGCCTTCCCCGCAGGCAGAACGAGATCTTATGGAGGGAGGTGGTGACTCTGCGGCAGAGCCACGGTCAGCAGCACCGGGTCATTGGCAAGGTGTTCTTCTCCCCCTACCCCACTTCTCTCTACCACTCCTGAACACACCCACTCCTCTGCCCAAGGCGGCAAATCCACCTGGAAGTGCCTTGTTGGGTGGGTACAAGGTCTAAAGTATGAATTAACACTTTGCTTCCTCTTTAGCTGATCCAGTGCCTCTTTGGGCCACTTCAGACAGGGTCCAGCAGCGCAGGAGCTAAGAGAAAGCTGTGAGTGAGAAAGTCAGGGATGTCCACCCTCACTCTCCCCCCCACACACACACACTTTCAGGAGCCTCCCTCCCAGAGGCCCCATGCAGGGACTCCTCCTCCAGAAGCCTTCTCTCTCACCAGGAATCCTCATTCTTCTTCCCTGCACTATAGTTTTCCTCAACCCATGGCAATCTCCCCAAGGTCCCTACCCCAGGACTTTCCCTCTCTCCCCTCAATTCGACCACCAAATACCCCCATTCCCAGATCCCTATGTTCTAGGACCTTAGCCCCAAATTTCCCCTCCAGCAGCCCCTTCCCCCTCACCCCAAACCATCCCAACAGCAGAGGGTCTGGGGCTCAGACCATGCTCTCTCCCTCCCCTCTCCATCCCCAAAGGGCCCCCATTTCTGGGGGGAGCCCCTTCTGCCTCCAGCATGTGACTGATACCCTGGCAACAGGCCTCAGCTCTGCTGACTTGGCTGCTGGGGCCTGAGGGAGGGAGGTGCAGGCTGAGAGGCATGGGGGATGAACCTGCCCTGCCCCCTGCACAGGTCTCTGATGCTGGATGAGGGGAGCTCGTGCCCAACACCGGCCAAATTCAATGCCTGTTCTCTACCTGGTGCCCTCGTTCAGGACCCCTACTTTATCCAGTCGGTAGGTTTTTGCTCATCCTCCCTTCCCTAGGGCACAAATAGGCTTATGGAGAGCCTATTCCTTTCCCCCATTCCCTAACAGGAAGAGAAGGTGGAGGCTAGCCTTCCCCGCCCCCCAGACCCAGGCTCCCCATCATGGACTGAGCCTCCCCCCTCAAACCTTACTCCTTAGACCTGGTCCATGTGGGTACTGGTTGGGTTCTGTCTCACCCTGTTGCTTGAGAGAAAGGACTGGGCTTAGTCTTCTACTTACAGCCCCTCCCAGAGACCACCTTGGGCCTCAGCAGTTCTCACAGGGCCAGGGGCCCTATCATCTCTGACATCCACGAAGACTCTCCATCCCCTGATGGGACCAGGCTTTCTCCTTCCAGCAGCAGCGGCAGGAGGTAAGACAGACTAGGCCGCCCTCTGGGGAGCTTGTCGGGGAGGGCCTGGCAGCCCAGATGACTGTGTGGGAAGGGGGGGAGGTCAGTGCCAGGGTCTGGTTGAAGCTTTTCTCTGGTGCAGGGAGAAGGGCCTGGCACTGCTCAAAGAAGAGCCGGCCAGCCCAGGGGGGGAAGGCGAGGCCGGGCTGGCCCTGGCCCCAAACGAGTGTGACTTCTGCGTGACAGCCCCCCCACCACTGCCCGTGGCTGTGGTGCAGGCCATCCTGGAAGGGAAAGGGAACTTCAGCCCCGAGGGGCCCAGGAATGCCCAACAGCCTGAACCAAGGGGTCCCAGGGAGCTACCTGACAGGTAAGTAGAGTCCATTCTTGACTGTGAGCCCTGTGGGTCACTTTTGCAGATAGACCACTGCTAACTGACTTCCCAGCCTTGCCTGCCTGTTGTGGCTGAGGGGGAGATCAGGCAATATGATCTGACCAGATATCTCAGTTGCTCTAAAGAGTACCGGCATCAGAGTGCCCTAGAAAGTATAAACTCCCATCAGGTCAATCAGTCTATTTAGGGTAGAGCCCCGGAATCTGTATTGTAACGGAGTTCATTTGGGTGATTGGAAACATTGTAAAGTACACAGTAGTTTAAGAACCAGTGGTGTTAACAATTCCAAAGCAATGGGACATATCCCAAGACCCCAGTTCCATAATCCAAACCTCAGGTCGAGGCTAGGAAGCAGAGGCGTTCTTTAAGCACCCTCTTGTGTGGGGTATCCTCTCCTACTATTTTGTAGATGTCCAATTTTGATCCTGATGTATACAGGTTCTTTAGGAACCTGATTGGGGGTGGGGGGGGGGGAACACTGCAGGCCGACAGCTGTTCTCTTTGTGCAGGGGAACTCTGGGCCTGGAGAGGGGGCGGCGGAGCCCAGAGCATCTGCTACCTCCCATGCTGCTTCGGGCCCCCCCTGAAAGTGTGGAGCCTGCAGGGCCCCTGGATGTGAGTACACCTTCAGCAGGGCAGGGCATGGGGCGAGGGGTGGGGCCCTCGGTGGGGTCTGTTTAGCCCAGGGGAGGGCGCCACTAACTGAGCTCTTCCCCCAGGTGCTGGGCCCCAGCCACCAAGGGCGAGAATGGACCCTGATGGACTTGGACATGGAGCTGTCCTTGGTAAGATGAAGGTGGGGGAGGGCAGGGGGTTAGAGTTACTGAACCAAGCCCTCAGCCAGAGCCCTAGCTCCCCTCCTCCACTCCCCCCCCCCCCAGCTGCTTCCTGAGGTTCTCCTTTGCAGATGCAGCCCTTGGGTCCAGAGAGGAGTGAGACTGAGCTGGCGGTCAAGGGGTTAAATTCTCCGGGGCCAGGTAAGAGTTTTAGTGACTCAGGACCTTGGTCTGAGCTGCCAGGATTGGGTGGGCTGGGCAGTTTGTGTTTTGGAGGGAAATCCCCAGAGTTCAGGTGGCCCTTGGGAGAGCTGTCAAGGCTACCCATCCTCTCATCATTGGGTGAGAGTGGGCAGGTTGAGAATGGATGTTTCATCCTGACTGACCGGAGGGCAGGACAGGTGAGGCTCTCCTTCCTGTCTCTCCCTGCTGAGCACGGCCCAATCCTCCTAGGGAAGGACTCCACACTTGGGGCACCACTCCTGCTGGATGTCCAAGCGGCTTTGGGAGGCCCAGCTCTTGGCCTTCCTGGAGCTCTAACCATTTACAGCAACCCTGAGAGCCGAGCCTCCTACCTAGGCCCAGGGGCCAATCCCTCCCCCTGAGACCCGCTTTACTCTGAAGCCAGCCTAGCTGAGGGGCTGGCCTGCAGCAGCACCCCCTTCTGGGCTTCCTGGTGCCCCTGGAAGAGGCTGAACGAAGACCCTGCTACTCTGCAGTCCTCCATTACTGAGCCCTGCACATAAACTGCATTTTTTTTCTGTTTCTGGTCTCTTTTCTCTACCGACCAGGGAGCACAGAAGTCATGGGTTGGCGCGGGGTAGGGGGGTAGGGGGTCGACTTTGCATTCATAGAAATTTCCAGAGGCTAAGGCTTTAATAGCAGAACCCCTGGAGAGTGGAGATGCTTGGGGAACCAGCCCCTAGTTCTGCTTAGGCTCCCGTCCTCTGGCCGGATCCAGGGCTAGCACGTGGCCGCTGCAACGTCCGGAACCCAGGGGCTTTTGGGGTCACATCCAGCTCCACAATGCATCTGCTCTGTGATCCTGGGTAAGCCGGTCCCCTTCTCTGAGCCTTATCTGGGATAAACAGAAAGGGCTCAAGGAGAAGATGGATGTAAAGCTCCTGGGAATTGCCAGGCCCCAGCAGGCCCAACTGCCCCCTCCCTGACATATTCGGTGCACCCGGGGTGGGGAGGGAAAGCGGACTACGCGTAGAAGTGCAGGGGTGCGCGGCCCCCGAGGCCTACCTCCGGGTCCCCACCCCCTCCCAGTTCCCCTTCCCCACCCCCTCCCAGTTCCCGGCAGCCCTGGCCGCCCCGCCCCCGCCGCAGCTGCTGCTCCCACCCCCACCCCGCCCAGCCCTTTCTGCCTCGTCATCTACTGCCCCGCGGAGGCTCGACGCATGAGTGGGGCCGCCCGGAACGCATAGAACCGGGAGCCCCACCCCACCCGGCTGGGGGAGGGAAGAGAAACTAAGATTGGGCAGAATCCGCGCCCCCCCACCACCAGCCGCGCTCGAAGGAGGTCTGTGAGCACCGCCCCTCCGCGGGATTCAAGCAGTGGGACTGGGTGGAGGGGAGGTAAGGGGCGCCTTGTGATCGCACTTTCGCAAAGGCTCCCGCAGTATCCCACGACCCTCGCTCCTTAGCATGAGAGACCGCGCAGAGAGGTGGGAGGGAGGCCGAGACCTCCCTCGATGCCTCGCACCTGGAGCCGCCTGAAGCTCCGGGAAGGATTTGGTCTGTGACCCTTGAAGGACTGGCCGGGACATAACGTCGGTATTCACTTGTGAGCATTGGCTTGCAGCTGGGGTCTCTGCACCCCAGGCAGGACAAAGTGCAGGACTTGGCGTACTGCAGGGAGGAGGCTAACATGAAAACAACTTGCGGAGCAATGAGGGAGAAGGAGGGGCCAAGGCAATCTGCGCCCCCCGCCCCCCCCTGCACTTGTACTGAGCAGGTCCTGCACCCCTGACTGGGGGGACAGTCTTTGGACGTCTCAGCTGGAGAGGGCAGGGGGTACATGAACACAGTGCAGTGATGTCAGCGTGGTGGTAAGAGTATATGCTGTTACTGGGGCCAGAAGGGAAGGGACCAATCTGTCTTTGGGACACTCAGGCACTGGGGTAGACAAGGGGGCATTTGAGTCTTGGAGGATGGGTTCACAGCATGGAGGAAGGGGAAGGGTATTCCAGGCTTAGGGAACAGCATCTGCAAATGTTTTGATGTGCCAGGGGCTGGCACGGTTCTCCCAGCAGGGAGATGTGGTGGTGGTGGAGGGAAGTAGGTGGGGGAAACCTGGCTGTCCAGAGGGGTGGGAGGTGGTTTGAGTGGCCAGGCCACATAATCTCGATTCTCTCTGAGGGGCAGTGGGGAAAGGAGACAAGTAGTTAGGGCTGATATTCTGCTTGGCAGGAGATCTCGTAGTTCAAGCTAGAGCAAGTCAGATTCCAATTCTGCCGCTTGGTCTCTCTGAACCTGTCTCCTCATCTGTAAAATGGGGACAATAAATCCTGTCCCAGAGACTTGTCAAAGTCACTGTGCTGTGAGGGTGATGTGATGGAAGTGAGAAGTACTTACAGAGACTGTCATAGGAGATGAGGTGATGATGCTGGGGCTGAGGGAGGATGCTGATGGAGACCCACTGAGTAGTGGAGGAGTAGCATTTGTCAGAGATGCCACCTGAAGGGAGAGGGAGGGGCAGGGGGTAGTTCTGGTTTCTGCTCAGTAGTCTGGGGGAAGCGCTGACAATTCAGTATAGCCAGGAGTGGTGAAATGACCAGGGAGGCATAGCATGACACCAGGTGGTAGTGAGAGAGACCTGGGAGGCAAGATGGGGGCTAGGACCACAGCCACTCTCCCAGACCTAGAGCCAGGTAGAGAAGTAGAGGAGTGACCTCAAAACGAGGATGAAACCCAGGAGGGTGCTTGTGTGGACAAAGCCAAGGCTAGGGGAGATGGGCTGAGAGGAGTGGTCTAGGGCCTCTTTGCCCCTTAATGCCAGGGGCCTTGCTGCCTGCGTCAGGTCACCCCACAAGTGATGGGCCATTGTCCTTGGTTGTTAATAAATGGACAAAGCAGATTAATTTCTGCCTAACACCCGCTGCTTACTACAGTCTCTCAAAATGGGAAGGTCCACGGAAGAAAACAGTAAAAGTTCAGCAAGCACTTGTTGGCAGCTTTTATGAGTTGGGTCCGTGGTACTTAGAGATAAAGCAAGAGAAGATTCCCAGGGCAGCAGGAGACAGTTGGATATCTGTCAGGAGATCTTGGTCAGAGCTAGGACTCAAGAGAATTCAGGTAACCCTGCTCAGGTATTAGGGAACCAGGACACAGTGGTGGCATCGGTGAGGCGCTGCAGGGGCAGAGCCTGTCCTGGCAAGACGAGCCTCAGGGTCAGAATAAGGAGCCTGGACTTCTTTGGTCGGTGAGGAGAGACTCTCAGCACCTGTGCCCTGGGTGCAGAGGGGATTCAGTGCTCCGCAGGGTCTAAGCTGGACATGAAACGCTAGACTAAGTAAGAGGTTAGGATGGCAGAAATATTCAGCGGATAGACTGGAAAGGACCGGACTGCAAGCTGGGTGTTGGGTAGCGGGATCAGTTGCGGGTCTTTCTGCCTGTTAAGGTGGGGAAGCAGGCTGGGAAAAAGAAGTTAGTTCGGATAAACTGGGTGTGAATAGAATGTAGGATCCACAGGCAGCCCGGGGCTCAGGAGGGACGTGCTGACTGGGGAGAGGAGTAGAGAATAAATAAGGACCCAGGGAGAGCATAGAGGAGAGGAGAACCACAGCTGACATTTAGGTGCCCAAGGAGAAGCCTGGGGAGGAGACTGGGACAAGCCCTCTGCTGAGGAGCTGTCCGGCTGCCGGGGTCGAGGTGAACTTAAATCCCAACCATGAGTGTTTACTGAGAGCCTGGGAGAGAGGTCAAGGGCGGGGAGTCCCGGCTCCCACTACCTCTTTCCCCCTCCCCCATGCAGCCCCCACCATGGGCAATGCGCAAGAGCGGCCCTCAGAAACGATCGATCGCGAGCGGAAACGCCTGGTGGAGACGCTGCAGGCCGACTCCGGGCTGCTGCTGGATGCACTGTTGGCGCGGGGCGTGCTCACCGGGCCCGAGTACGAGGCGCTGGACGCGCTGCCGGATGCCGAGCGCAGGGTGCGCCGCCTGCTGCTGCTGGTGCAGAGCAAGGGCGAGGCCGCCTGCCAGGAGCTGCTGCATTGCGCCCAGCGGACCACGCGGGCGCCCGACCCCGCCTGGGACTGGCAGCACGTGGGCACCGGTGAGAGCGCGGGGGGCGGGGCCTGAGCCAGAGCACGGGGCGTGGCGTGAAGGGTAGAGTGGGGAACCAAGTAGCAGTCTCCCCGCCCCCCCAAATGGGTGTGTGTCAAGGATACCGCAGAAGCGTAAAATGAGCCTCGGATACCCCCACCTCCGCCCCAGGCTACCGGGAACGCAGCTACGACACTCCATGCCCTGGCCACTGGACACCCGAGGCACCTGGCTTGAGGACCACTTGCCCCGAACTGCCCAGAGCTTCAGAATGCGACGAGGCTGGGGTTCCCGGGGGCTCTGAGGCAGTGCAATCCGGAACGCCCGGGGAACTCAATCCGGAACTGGAAGCTGGGGCCTCTGATGAGGCTGGGCAGGATTTGGAACCAGAACCAGAGGCAGAGGCAGAGGCAGAACCAGAACCTGAACTGGAGCCAGATCCCGAACCCGAGCCAGAGGCTGAGGCGGGTGACGAGGCGGATGATGAGTCTGAAGGTGTGAGGCTACCCAAACCCGGTGCCAGATGGGTGGAAGGGTGGGCCCCACCTGACTGACCACTTTTTCTCTATCTCTAGATTCCTGAATGCCTGAGCACTGACAGGCCGCCCCTGCCCAAGCCGGATAGGACCTGGGATCCTGCCCTGGCATTGGGGGTGGGGGGTGGGGGGTGCCACCAAGTCTCCATCTGACCCGGTACCACTAGAAGTGAATAAACTCCGGAGGGTCAGCCTGGGGTCTCTGTGTGACTCTGGCTTTTTGCCCAGAATTAGGGTGTGGGTCTGTGCCCCTGAGGCTCAGCAACCTGGGCAGCTCTGTGCCCCACTGTCCAGTTCTTAGCCCCATTTCATCCTCAGTACTCCAAGCCGCACCCCCCTGGAGCTCTCAGTCCCAGGCCCCCGTGGGACAAGGGCCAGACCCCTGGGCCCTGCCCTACAGAGCTTTTCCCCTCATGCAGCAGTTGAAGGGGGGAGGGCTGTATAGTCACCTGCCCCACTTCATGGAAGCCCTTGGGCCTGGTGCAGAGAGCCAGGGAAGGGAGACTTCTTTCCACTTAGGGCAGGCTAGAGCTCACAGCCTTGGGAAGTGAGATTAGGAGAGAGGAAGAGGAAGGGATCTTGGGTAGACAGAGCCCATACACTTCCGTATAATTAGTTTTAATTGTCTGGTTTCTCTCTGGACTGGGAACTCAGTGAGGGTTCTGACCAGTAACTGGCACACAGAAGATGCTCTACACATAGTCACTGACTAAACGAATAAGGACTTTCCAGTTGCATTTCTGAATTTTATAGATGGGAAAACCAAGGGCAAGGGTGAGAGTGGGAATGGGTCAGCATCACACAGTGGAGTCTGAGGTGAAACCGGAAGCAACCACCACCTCTACACCTTCTTGGTCCGGGGGGCTCAGGACTTGAGACAACAGCTGGGGCTTGCCCCCCAGGCTCAAGTGTGGCTGCCGCCAGCCTCTGGCACCATCTGCCAGAGGCCAGCTGTGAGGGTGTCGGCAAAGACAGGAACAGCACAGGCCACTGGAGGGCCGGGGGCAAGGCCAGGTGAGCTCTTGGGCTTGACCCACAAGGCCTAAAAGACTGTGTGTGTGTGTGTGTGTGTGTGTGTGAGAGAGAGAGAGAGAGAGAGAGAGAGAGAGAGAGAGAGAGAGGGGGGCTAGGAGCAGTTCGTGCCTTCCAGAGGAGCTCTGTTCCCTCCACCACACCGTCAGAAGCTGCTACCTCCCAGCCCCAGGAAGCAGAGCACATAAATAGGGTATAAATACATGGCCAGTGGGAGAGGCAAAATGCTAGAAATCACACCCCAGCCCAGCTGGGTCTCTACTGCCAGGACCCCTGCCCCTTGAGTCTCTGTGAAAGCCAGGCCCTCAGACCCAGGCAGTCACCCCAGGAGAAGGGAGATCCCCACCAGGACCCAGTGAGAGGTAGACAGCGTGAAAGCTGAAGGAGCACCGAGGGGCCAGGTGGGGGAAGGGAGAGACTAGAGTATGCAGACACCCAAAGCCATCTCATGCAAGAACAAGTTTCTACTCCCAAACCACCCCCCATCCCCATCATGCTCAGCCTCCCTCCTGCCCCCAGGCTTCCCCTCCACTCAACAGAGAGCTAGAGGTAGGAGGGCAGACTCATTTTGCTTGGCATGCTACTGCTGGTCCCAGGGCCTGAGAGGCTAGCAAGGGACACAAACCCTCTGATGTTGCCACTCCTACCTCCTGGGATGCTCCTGCCCTCCCAATTCCCCAAGAAACACCCAGGCCATGGAAGCACAGAACAGTCAGCTTCATGTTCTGGGAGCTGATCTGGAGCCCTCGTCCAGGGCCTCTGCCTGTAGCCCTCAACCGGCATCAGTCAGGCAGCAGGCGGCCCAACTCTGCCTCATCCAGCCGGTTGGTGGCCATGATGTGCTCCAGCTGCTGCCGGTAGCGCGCCAAGTCTTGCATGAAGTGGGGCACCCGGGTATTGTCCAGCACCCCATGGGGCCGCAGGTGGTCTACATCCTCATAAGACACCTGCAGGAAGGAAGCTGGGCCTCAGGGGCAGCCAGAGGTAGCCATGGCTTTCAGGTAGCTGGTCCCAGCTCTCCACCAATGGCTCATGGCCCTCTGCTCCTGGAATGCCTCCCTCTGGATCCACTCCCAGTGTTATGTACCCTGACGCTTAGTCCTGGGTGTGTTTGCTCTCCTAACCCCAACCCAGCTTCTTCCCTCACTTCCAAACCTAGGTATCCAGCTGCCTCCTGAACACCTTCCCCCGATCTCCCTCAGGGACCGCAGACCCCACACCCACCCCTGAACACCGGGGTGCCAGCTTCTGCCAGCCCCACGGTTCCCCTCACGGTTCCCCCCTCATGGTTCCCCCTTCACGGTTCTCTAGGTCAGCTTGAGGGAAGGGACCTGGAATACGTCACCCTCCAACTCAGGGTGGCCACTGGGTTAGAGGAATTCCACTCTCCAAAGAGCTTTCTCCAGCTTGCCCCTCCCGCTGCATGGCCACTGCATGGCGGTGACCAGACCGCCATCAATCCCGCCAGAGTGACTGGAAAGGCAGTTTCCTCCTCCCCCTGCACTCCCTTCCCTAGGCCTCTCTCTCCAATCCACCTCCCATATAACAGCCACAGGGAGTCTTCTAAAGCAAAAGTGACATTTTCTAAAGCTCTCCAGGTATGCCGTTGCTTCAGGTAAAGTCCACCTTCCTCAGCCTGGCACAAATACCCAGAGCCAGAGATTTGGTCCCTGGCCATTTCTCCAGCCTCCTCCCCCAGACTTTCCTGACTGCTCCCCAGGCCTGAATGCTCACCTTCTTTGAGATGTGGTATCTACACATACACCCGCAGTCTAGGTCGAGTACCTACTTTTGGCTGCCAGGCTGTCATTTCTTCTTTGTTCACCTCCACCCAGGTCTCCCCACCAGAGAAGCCTGGCACCTAATCCTCAGTCAGGCAGCCATCAGAGGCTCAGGGAACACTGCCGGGACGAGGAGAGCTGGCTGGATCTCTAGAGGTCTGTGGCCTGGCCCCTCACCTTGCCCAGTGAGGTCAGCAACGGGAAATCGATGGTCTGGCGGTGCCGCAGAATGCGCACGATGCCATCCAGGTACACCTGATCCTTGCTGAAGCAGCCTGTGGGGCACGGGAGGGCTGTGAGCCCCTAAGCCCGTGGCCCTCCGCCCCCCCCACCCCCACCGAGGCCACCCCCTGCTCAGGGCACTCCCCCCCCATCCCGCACACCCCCAGGCCTCATTCAGGGCACCCCCCCCAACCCGGCGCGGGCGCCCACCGGGCAGCGAGGTGTCCGTCTGGCCGCGCTTGGCGCGCACGCAGTACTCCCAGCGCACGTCGGCGTCCTGCACGTAGCGCGCCAGGTCCTGGAAGAGCTGGCGGAAGGACATGCGCGAGGCGCGGTGGATGGTGTAGTAGAGCAGTGCGGCGCGCCACAGAAAGGGCTGCTTGCGGAACAGCACGCTGTGCAGGCTGGCCAAGCCCTCCTCCGTGGGGTTCGCTGGCCGCAGCCCGTACTGCAGCCGGCCCTCGGCGCTGTGCCACGGCTGCCGCGCGTTGTTCACGCCCCGCAGGTAGTGAGTGCCTATGGGGAAGGCGAGGGGAAGGAGGCACTGGGTAGGTCATCCAGGGGACCAGCCTGCCGGCCATGTACTGCTACCTCCTACAGAACCTCTAACCGGTGACAGTGACGGTGACTCATGGTGACTCGCATACTCCAGCCCCTCAACTCAGGCTCTCCCGCAAGTTCTCCCCGCCCACAATACATACTCACCCAACCCCAGGAGCGGGAAGACCCTCCTCAGGTGAACTCACACCCAAAGGCTGAGAGTCCCACACACCAGAATCCCTCCCCACCCAACCAGGGCTACACACACAAACAACCCTTCCGAACTCACACTGCCCCTCACGCCCCTCGGAGAGGTGCAGGAACTCACAAACCACCCCAGCCCCACATCCTGCATGCCCGTATCAATTTGACAGTCATGCTGATGACCCCAGCGAAAAACACCTTTTGCCCAGAGCTACAGGATTCTTGAGGAGGAGAGACAGACAGAAATGAATGATAATTAGTGTCCCATGCTCTCCTTTTCAGCTCAACCTATCCCCTCCTAAAACCCGGCTTTGTGTCCTCAACTAATTCCATTCCTAGGATCTGGCCTTCCACCCACCCTGGAGGGCCTCCGTGTTGGCAGGGCTAGTGGGACCCTCAGAGTACTCCCTCTGGCCTGTCCGGGCCTCAGCAGCCTTGTCCCCACTGTCAAGGGAAATCAGAGAGGAAGTAGAGAAGTAGAGGGAGGAAAAGATACCCAAAAGGAGCAAGAAATGAGGGTGAGCCCAGAGTGGGCAGGCATGTTCTGGCCTACCTCTGTGAGCCAGAGGGAGGAGGTAGCTGCTCACGAAGGGAAAGGGCCCGTCCTCCGGAAGGAAGGGGAAGAAAGAGAGGGGGTGGGGTTACTGGGGCCCCTTGCTGCCCCCCACCCCGCCCCAGCCCCCCCTCTCATCCGACCCACCCACCCACCTACCCACACCCTGACCTATCTCGTGCCGCAGCATGCCCTCCAACCAATACTGGCGGGCTCCAGTCAGGTTGATGGCCAACGTTGGTCGGCTGTTCTCCACCATCATCACTGCCTGGGACAGCAGGTCTTCACTCAGCTGCACCACAACCTGCGGGTGGTAATGAACCTAAGCCATGGCCACCAGCCCTGGGACCAGGGTGCAGGTGAACCCACTGATGGCCACAGGGCAGGCAGGCCACACACCCTTCGCCACCTTTGCTCAGAGCCAGCTGCCACCTTATTGGGACAGGGGCTTGCCTGGGATCACGAGCTGGGCCTGGCAGCCTGGTTTGGGGCACACAGAAGAGGGGCCTCAAAGACAGGGCTAGCTCACCTCCCCAACGCAGCCCTCCTTCTGCATGTATTTGCGAACAATGGACCAGATCTGGCACTTGGTCAGCAGCTGGCCCCCCGTTGCAGCTTCAAAGTGTTCATAGGTACCAAACTTCTCCAGGACAGCCTCAATGATGCCAACTGCCTGCACATAGGGTTGCGGTGGCTGGTCAGACCAGGCCTCCTGGGTGATCAGGACCAGGGTGAGGTGGGCAGGCTGAACTGACCTGATGGATGAACTGTCCAGAAGCTTCACAGTACTTCTCCAGCACAGCCGTGGGCATGGGCTCCTGGTACTCGAACTGTGGGTTGTAGGTATAGTGGGACTGGAAGAACTTGTCCCGCTCTCGGTCCATATTGGTTGGCCTCAAGGCCACCAACATGCAAGGGCTCTTGCTGGCACCACGGCCTGCATCCTTTCGAGTCTTAGCAATGTGAGGCAGGGAGGCTGCAGACCGCAGGGTGCCCCCGCCTGGGTCCCGTCCCCGTCCAGGTGGGCCCCGACCCTGGGTGCCACCCCCCCGCCGGCCAGTACTATTTACAGTATAGGTGCTCTCACTGCGACGCATGTGTCCACGCGGGCCCAAGTGCAGCTCTGAGAAGGGCTGCAGCTCAGGCCGGGGCCGCAGGGCTGAGGGGATTGACAGAGCCAGGGGCAAGGCCAGGGACTGAGGCCAGGGGTACAGCAGTGTCCCATCTCGGTCTGAGGGCTTCAGCCTATGGCCCAAGGATGAGGGACTGGCTGGTGGGCTGGGGGGTGCCTGTTCATACACTTGAGCCCCTGAGTCCAGCACCATTCTGTCCTGGGGTCACATCCAGCCGGGTCACTCCAACTCCCCACACTGTCGACTTCTGGGGACACAGAAGGGCATGTGGAGGCCAGTATGAGTGGGTGTGGCCCGAGCACCAACAGGCCTTGTGCTCCACACTGCCCTGGCTGGGTGCTTAGTGGGCTCGGGGCCTGCCACCAAGGGGTCTGGGTAACAGCCCCTCACCCCCATCCCCGTGTCCATTCCCTCCAGCAGGCTTACCCAAGGAAGCTGGACTGGGGGAAGGGAGGAGGCAGAATTTATACACTCACCTAGATGGTGGTGCTGGAATCCCCTTAGACTATGAGCTGCTGAGAGCAAGGCCTGAGCCCCTACTCATGATTTTAATCCCTGTGTTCAGCACCCACCCAGACTGGGAGCTGGTATAGTGTAGCCCCAGTCGCTGGGATGAAGGCTGAGGGGGCCTCACCACCTTCTACCTGCCTTCCAACTATGGCGTTTTCTCAGTCTCAGCCCTCCCCTCCCACCTGGCTCCACCACCTCCTCCAGCTCAGTTGGCCTCAGTCAGGTTGAGTGCCTGCATGCCCCGTGCTTATGTTAGTCCCTCCACCTGGAATGATCTCTCTCCCCTCTGGGTCATCTATTTAAATCCGAATTAGAATCAGCTTTTGGGGGAGCAGAGGGAGACTTCAGCAAGTTCAAGCCAATCCTTGGTCTGTCTCCTATCAGAGGCCTCTTTCTAATGGTCATCCAAGGCTGGCATTGGCACGTTCACCCCTTGCTCTGTACTAGGGCTCAGAACAATCCAGTCTCTCCCCAGAGACTGACTGAAGGCTCCAGAATCTGAACTTCTTTGCCTGCTCAGGGACACAATTCCAGCATTTCTCCAACACCATCAACCTCTTCCTCTCTACTGGATTCTTTCCAGCAGCATAAACACATGCTGTTATTTCTGTCCTAAAAAAAAAACAAAACCAAACCCTCACTTGACCCCACACTCTTCTAGCCCCACCGCATCTCCCACCAGCTGCTCCTTATTGCAGCACAACATCCATCTGTACGCAGTCGGATTCCTTCTTTTCCTCTTATGTTTCACTCCAGTTAGGCTTCTGTCCCCACTTTCCACTGAAACTGATCTGACCAAAGTCACCAATGATCTTCATATTGATTTGGCACACTTGACATAATTAATCATTTCATCTTGGGAACATGTTCTCCACTTGGCTTCTCAAACACACTCAAACATATTCTCCTACCTCACTGGCTGTTAGTTCTTGGTCTTTCTTGCTCATCATGCCTGTCTTCCTGATCTCCTAACGTTGTAATGCCTCAGGACTTGGAAACTCTATGAAAACGTCTCTACTTTTCTCCATTTATGCTTACTCCCAGGGTGATCTCATCTGCTTTCATGATTTTAAGTACATCAGCCCAGACTTCTATAAACTTCCGACTAGTGTTGCCAGTTCTCAATTCAACATCTTTACTTGAATGCACTTAACAGGCATCCCAGACTGAACATGTCCCCTATCTGGAATGCTTTCCCCCAGATAACTGCAGGGCTCACTCTCCCATTTTCCTCAGATTTCTGCACAAATATGTTATTAGACAAGTCTCCCTAACACACTCTATATAAAATAGTAAACCTCCTCTTTCCTCGCCACCACAATCTTTCTTTCTCCACATTATTGGTCTCTGAAGCAGTGGTCACCACCTGAAGTACAGTATATGTCATTACTAGCTATCTGCTTTTTCCTTTCGAATGTTCACAGCTGTGTCTCCAGATCCCAGAATAGTACCCGACCCAGAGCAGTTGCTCAATAAATGGATGAACCCAAGAGCACTTCTCCTTCTCAGAACTGGAATCATTCCTTCCACGCATTATGTTTCCATATCTAGTTTTGATCCCCTGCCCCCACCTCCCTTCCCTCTGCCTAGTGACCAGCTGTTTGAAAAGATTTCAGGCCTCAGACTTCACTCTTCTCAACTAACTACACTTTTCTGGACTCCTCACTGGTCTCTGCGCCCCTCCCTTCATCCCCACCCCCCTTCTTTCATTCGACCTACCTCTTCGCAATTACCAAGAATACGCCTGTTTCTTTCACGTCTCAGGTTCTTTTGCCAAGAATGCCCTCGCAATGTCTCCTTGTAGCAAACTCCTAACCATTCCTCAGGTCTCGGTTTAGGTCTCACCTCCTCCGGGAAGCCTTCCTGGCGTCTTGGAGGCTCCCAGGGTCTAGGCGGCTTCTTTACCACCCTAAGCTGTCACTGTCGGAGCCTAGATCCGTGTCCCCACACCACCCCCTTAACTCCCTCAGGGCAGGGACGGATCTGTTTGACCCCCATGTCCCAAGCACCCAGCACTACATGCGGAATGAATGAAAGATGGCCGGGGAGGAGCCCAGACACAAGGCGGAGTCTGGTGACAAATGAGAGGGTGTGGCCTACGCCAATAAAAAACTCTCGGAGAGGTAACGTGGAAGAGGAGCCAATGGGGACGGGGAGCTAGAGGAGGGGCGTGACCTGCAGCCAATAAGTGGCGGAGGATGGGGCAGGGGGCGTGGCCAATGGAGGGCGGAGCCAGAGGACAATGGAGGGGGGGTTCCTGGTTAGATGAGTAGGGGTCGTGTCGCGTGCCTTCGCGGCCTCTCGGGGGTGGGGGGTTCCGTCCGCGTACCGCGCCCCCACCTGTTCGCTCCTCTTCTCACCACCGCCGTTCCCGCTCCGCAACACCAGTCGCCAGCCGCCCAGCCCGCGGGAGCTGACCGCCGGTGACGCACGCACTCGGCCGCGCGCACGCTCACGCGAAGGCGCGCCTATTCACGTCAAATTCGGCGGCGGCGAGCACCCGAGAACACAGCTGTGGGTGGGGCCAGGCAGAGCAGAGGGTGGCGGTGTCCTCCACCAAGTCACGCCCCTGGGCGCGGCGTTATCTTAAGCCCGCCCCCTCCACGAGGACCCGGCGGGTTTCCGCGCTTCAGGTACTAGTCGGCCTTCAGAGTCTGGGCCTCGACACACAAGCTCACTGCCCTGGCGCGGATAGATGGGGCTGAAGTCCACCTATGGCGGCAGAAGCTCGGGTACTTGGGAACACAGTCCATACCGGGCTGATGTCAGGATAGGTGAGGTGCAGCCCATATATGAGGACTGGAAGCCAGGATACCTTGGGCGTTTCACTGAGCGTGGACCCCCTAATCATCGCACTTTTATTTTATCCCCCTTCCCCCAGTACACAATTCAGGCGTCCGGGGGCCGTCACTGTAGCCGGAGGGCAGCCCGGCGTCAGGAACAGGGCCCCGAGGGAAGGCAGGAGGACAGCGCAGGAGCAGGTGCTGGGACGAGGCTGAAGAGTGCGCGGCGACCGGCAGAGGGCGAGGGCTGTGGGCCCGCCTGCAAGGAGCTGAGTGCGGCCAGGCGCTGCTCCCGCGACACGTCCCCGCGCAGGTCCAAGAGGGCAGAGACGTGATCCTCGCTGCGGGGACACCAGAGAGGTGTGTGTCAGTTCCGCCCCGCTCTTCCCGAATCCATCCTCCCCTCCCTCCGCCCCCTCCCCGCACCAGAACCAGTCTTCGCACCTCACGTCTGGAAATTTTTGTCGCAGGCCTGCCACCTCGAGGCCAAGCAGCACGGGGTCGCGGAGGTTCAGCAGATCCCGCAGAGCGAGGAGCACTGGCGCGCACTGAACACTCTCCTCCAGGCCCTGAGCACCGCAGGGTAGGTCTCGCGTTCGCCCTCGACCTCCACCCAACCACTGATACTCCCGCTCATCTGCTTGCCTAATGAATTCTCACCAAACCAAGGAAAAGTTCCCGAAGCTGGGCCGCGTCGTGCTGCAGGCGCTCGGCCGCCTGGGTCCTCTCGTCGGCTCCTCGGCACACCAGGCGGCCCTGCATCAGCGCACGCAGGTACTGCAGTACCACCGTACGTTCCGCCTCCGCCAGGAGCAGCTGCGGAGAGCACAGTGGGTTCAGCATGCCTTTCCCATGGGCGCTTCCCTACTCCCCAGCCTTTCCCTTAAATGCACCTGGGCCGCAGGATTCCGCACGCGCCTAAAATCTTGGCAGACGTGCGCCGTCCGCTCACACACATTGTCCAGCAGCTCTGGGCTCGACAGCCACCGGCGTGAGGGCAGAGCCGCGAACAGGGGCTGGGGATGAGGGCAGAAATGGGGTTGAAGGAACGATCCAGAACTAGCCAAACGATTCCCCCTGCTGAGACGCACGCCCATATATGTTGTATCTCCTCCCCCCACCCCAATCCCCACTTGAAGCCTTACCTGGAGCTCCGCCAGCAGCGCCTCCAACACCAGGCGGCAGATCCTCCTCTGCAACTCGTCCAGCGCTGTCTCCACCGGAGCCAAAGCTCCTGAAGCCGCCCCGTCGGGCTGCAGGACCGACACGGAGGAGCTGGACGGACCAAAAGTTAAGGCTTCAGGACCAAGGCCAAGGCCCTCGCGGTCGTCGGTTGTCTAGCCACTCTGACGCCACCTAGTGGTGCAAGTGTGTGGCGGGAGGGGGCAAGAATGGCGGCTCTCTGCACTTCTGTACATCTGGGGCTTGGACTGAGGATGGGAGTGGTGGGCTCAGACAGCTAGAAGGAACCCAACCAGACCTGCCTCTAGTTCGCAATGTGACTTGGAGCAAATAATGTCTTTTGGTTTCTGTTTGGGTAAGGGAAGAGTTTAATCCCAGCCAGGAGGGATTCAAACTCATCATTAACTTGTTTGTTCTCTCTGCCCCCACCCCAAAGAACATAAGACCCAAGAGGAAGGGGATTTTTTTTTCTGTTTTGTTCACAGCTGTAACCTCAGACATTACGTGGCACAGAGTAGGGCCTTGGTAAGTATGCGTTGGATAAATGAATGAATGAATAAATAATTGGTACTGTCAGGCAAGCACCGATAGGTTTTTCACACCTGTTATATGATTCTCAGAATGTACCATTATTACCCACACATAATACTGATAAGAAAAACGAGATTCAGAAAGATTAGGTAACTCATCCAAGGTCACACAGTTAGCAATTAGTAGAACTAGGATTGGACTCTCAGGGCTATGTGAGTCTAAAATTTCTGATGACCTAGTGTGGACTGGGTCCATACCTAATTGGGGTTCAGTCAGGGGTTCTGTGGGGAAGGGTTCTGGTACCTGAGTGCTGATTGGTGGTTGAGGGTGGCCAGCAGATAGGGCACGTAACGAGGGGCCATTGTTTCCCCCCTGGCGTGGTCTCGGGAGAATCGGATCAGAGCATCACTAAAGCTGCAAAGGGCAGAGGTAGTTCCTGTACCTGTCACCCTGGCGCCCCCACAGCTTGAGTCCCTGGTACTCCAGCCCCACCTCCAAGAAACCCAAGACCCTGTTTTGAAGAAGCCCTTTCCCCCTGGTGTGCCTTATTCACTCAGAGCCCCCTTGGGCTGCCCCAGGAGCAGGGCTAGGGGCCAGACGTGGGTCAGTGCCTTGGCAGACCTCCTCAGGAATGTGCCCAGTTCCGAGAGTGCCATGCCCTGCACCCGCAGCTGCAGTGACTTGCTGACCAGGCTGCTCACGCGAATGTTCTCTTCCAGGATCTGCAGGCAGCAACGGGTGGTCATCAGCAGAGTCCAAGTTCTTTTCTCCTCCCCTTTCCCTCTGGGGGCTTCCCACCTGCCTGGCCTCTTCCCACCCACCTGCAGCACTATGGCCGGCATAGGTGAGTGGTAGAAGCCAGAAGAGTCTGTGCCAGGTTCCTGCTCTCGGTTCCACTCAGCTACCTCGCCATCCAGTGCCTTCTGCAGCCACTGGGTCACATTTGCCTGGGGGAAGGGGCAAAGGGGGGCAGGACGTAGCAGAGCACTGATCTTGCTAGAGACGGGTAGACATGCAACTCTGCAGATACAGGCCCACAGCTGGTGGCAGAGCTTCTCTGTACCTGGGCCCCAACTACTCACCTGGATTTGGGCCACAAATGTTGCCTCCAGCTGTTCAATGTTCTCTGGGGTCAGGAGGGGCTCCAGCTGAGACACGTCAGCCTCAGGCCCCAACTCTAGGCTCCCCATCATTTCTGGCCTGCAGATGGGCAACCCAGTGTCACTCTGAGCCCCCAGCCTCTGATCCACCCACTTCCCGATGCCCCGAGGGTACTGACCCCAGGTACACATGCAGTACCCAGTGCAGCAGGGTGAAGGCATCAGCAGCTCCCAGCTCAGGCCCTCCCAGGAGTTGCTGCAGGCAGCGGCGCAGTCCACTGTGCAGGGTGTGGGCCCACAGCTGGACCACCTTGTAGTACGGTGGGCAGCAGGGTGCTACTAGTGCTTCAGCTATGGACAACTCGGCTGGTAAAGCCACCCGCAGAGCCTCCAGCCACCCTGCCAGGGCCCCCGGCTGAGGTAGGAGAGGTGTCCCAAAGTGGGTCCTGTCCAGGCCCTCCTGCAATGCCTGCAGACAGCGCTGCCGCCAGTCCCTGGGGGCCAGCTCCAGGGAGGCTGTATACCCAGCATCCACTTCCGCCACACGCACGGCAGCCACCAGCTGGGCTGGGTCCTCCCGCGCCAGCTGCCCTGCGGCCCCGGCAGCCGCCTCCACCGCCTGGCCGAGAGCCTCAGCCAGGGGGCCCAGCCCCTCGAAGACTGGCAACTCCAGGCCCCCCAGAGGTGCCCACGTCTCCTCTTGCAGCTGCTCCAGCTCCCGAAGGCACACATATGCCTCCAAGAGCTGCCTGGCATCAATCAGGCTCCGCGCGTGGGCCACTGTGGCTGGCACTAAGCAGGGAGGAGAGGAAACTGCCCTGAGTCTCAAACCTCCCCTCTGTATGACGGGTACAGCAGTGGGTGCTGAGGCCCTAGGGCTGCAGTGAGGTATAAAGTGTTCAGCAACCAGTACAGCAGAGCACTGACTAATCTGAAAGGACCCAGGGAAGGGCCTAGAGACCCGGCAGGCCAGGTGTAAATTTCTGAGCTGATGGAACAAGAGGAAGCCAGGGATCCTGGAAGCAAGGCAGTGTGGAATTCGTGGGGCCATGCTAGCGGCTATTTAATACTTCAATAAGTTAGCAACCAGGGTGGTCAGAGCCACTTGGCTGAGTCTCAGTCCTGATTCATACAACTCATACTTGAGAATCCCAAATGAGCCAATTTGTGTCCTGCTTCATATGCCATTTGAAGCCTGAAATACTCTCTGGAAGGTCCCTGGTGTGGCCCTCCATGCAATCTCCCACTAGTGCGCCAGCCCCTCGGTCAGTGATGGGTGTTTATTGACTAACGGTTGGGGGGCTGAGGACCAGGGTCCCCGCACACTCACCTGCCCAGAGCCGGGGCAGCAGCTGAGACAGGACCTGCAACTGCTTGTGCTGCGCCACCTGCTCCCGCAGCGGTCTGAGGGTCTGCATGGCCTCTGCCGTACCCTGCAGCAACCCATGGGCCTGGCCCAGGGCCTCACGGGCGCCCTGCACAGCCTCAGAAGCCTGGGCCAGCTGCCACACACCCGTCTTCACGCCCTCCAGGTAGGACTGCACCACCGACTGTGGGAGGGAGGCAGCCAGTGAGGCCTGGCCAGTCCTACAGCCTGTCCCCAGCACTCCTTTCCCCTGACTGATGCCCACCTTGATGCGTGCTTCCAGTGAACAGGTACGCTGAACCTCACGGCTGCGGTACTGGCCCAGTCTGGCCAGCTGCTCTGGCCGGTAGAAGACACCCGAGGCCCATTTGAGTGCTGCTCCTCGGGCCAGCCGCTCCGCCCTCTCCTGCTCTGGCCACCCAGGCCCTGGGCAGGAAGAGCCTGGGCAGCCTCATCAGTTGGGCAGGGCCTGCAGGAAGTGGCCCGAACCTGCTCCCCTTCCTACTTCTCAGCCTGTCCCCTAGGGCAGTCCGATCCATTCCTCTTGCTGCCCTATAGAGCTCCGGCCAGCCCTGGCAAGGAGGATCCAACCCCACCATTCCCATCTTTCTTGCCACCATCCCTCCCTTAGCACACCCAGAGGGCTCATACCAGGGGGAAGTGAGGGCTGCATTTCATCCTTGGTTGCTGAGTCCATGGCAGTCCCTCGAGGAGCTGGAGATGAGGTAGGAGTGAGGGTGCTCCTGTGAGCTGCAGCCTCAGGCTAGGCCCCTCTGAGAAGGAGGAGGGGGTTCTTGTCCAGCCCCCTCAGGAAATGATGGGGAGACTGGGTTTCTCAGTTTTGCCCCTGCAGACGCCAAGTGAGGCAGGGTAGGCACAGACCTCTGCTGGCCCCAGCTCCTGCTCTGAATTGCAGAGGACAGTTTGGTACAGAACTCACCAGGCTTGACCAGGCATCCAGTTCTTTCTCCTTTGAAAATAGTCTCGGCCTTGAGGATGGCCCTCTCCCCCAGTCTTCAGGGCAGAGCTGGGTATTCTCTTCACTGGCTCACAAGGCCTGGGTGGTTCCAGCCCACACCTCAGCATGTAGCAGAATTCTCCCCAAGGAAGCCTCTGTACCACCTCCCCGCCCAGGAGCACCCTCCTCCATCCAAGGCCAAATGCCCGGAAAGGAAGGAAGCTGAGTCTCTGGCCTTTTATTCCCAACAGGAAAGTGCATCTGCAATGTGGGATGGGGTGGGGAGGGCTGGGCGCAGCTTCCTTGGGGGGAGGGGGTGTACTCCCTGTAATCCCTGAGTCCTGCCCAGCCCATCCAGGACCTCTTCGTGCTCAAGACACAGACGTGAACTAGATGGCCCCAACCTGGGGTGGAGAACGGTGTGCAAATGTGGGTGCAGACACCATCACAGAAGGAAAACTGTGTTGATAGCTCCTCAGAGGAGGGTAATGCATCTCTGCAGAGAAGTGAGAGGCCACAGGCTATTGTGAGGGAGGTGTGTGGTAGGCGATGGTGAGAGAGGGGTAGAAGGGCTAAGAAAGCTGTGTTTGTCTTGAGAGTTAAAGGGGACCATGGAGAGGACCACCGGGTAGTAATAACATAGTGGACACTTGTTACCACCCAAATCCACCCTTCAGGACAACACCACTTGTTCCCCTAGCTGCCAGGAGTGTAGGTTGCTGAGGTGTCACAGCTGAGTCTCTCGCTCACGGTTAGGGCACAAAGGCCTGGTGAACTTGCCTGAACATGGACCACCTTGGAAGGCCCACCCCAGTTTCAGTGGATGGCCTGAGGCCTCTATTATAACTGCATCACAGTTTAATTCCCCCTTCTACCCAATTTTGCATGTCTTACTCCCTTACAAGGATGGATCCTCATTACACTTCCCTGCAGGTAGATCCCTGTCTCAAAGTCGGCTTCCCAGAGATCTTGACCTAAAATAAATGATAATAAATAATGATGGTATCAAACATAACAACATGGTACTAGCCAACACATAATCCTTCTTACCTCCCAGGAACTGCTCTAAGTGCTTTACATAGATGTACACCTAGGTAAGCATGTTTGCCTTGGCGGGGAAAATTGTTATGACTCCCTGGTCTCTGAGCACTGCAGTGTTGAGACAAGAGAAAGATGAGGCTGGGATCAGGGAAGGGGAATGGGAATGGAGACAAGTGGGCAAGCTCGATGTAGTTAGTGTTTGCTGTTTGACAGGAAGTGAGGGACGGGAATATAGGGTCAGTAAACCCAAGACACTGGGACAGCTTCTAGGAGCAGGTTTGGGGAAACACATTGGGTTCATCAGGCAGCGTGGTCTCCTCTTCTGAAATGGGGACAGGTTGGCCAGCCAGGAAGGTTCTGGTGACTCTCCCTTCTCTACTGCCGGGGCTGCCCACCGACTTCCTCCACCTCTCCCTGCACCCTGCCCTCCTCTCCCGGTATCCACGGATTGTTTTCGTCCTCTTCGGCGGTTGGACATTTGCTGATGGTCCCCGAAGTTTTGCTGCCGTGTCCGCAGAGAGGAATTGCGCCCGGTTCCCTGGGAGGGCGCGGAGCGGAAGCGGAAACAGCGACGCTGGCGCCGGCGGCCGGGTGGCCAGGAACGGAAGCGGAAGTGGCGGCGGCGCCGGCCTGGCCTGGCCTGGCTGAGGGGAGGCGGCGGGCGGGAGCGATGGCGGAGGCCGGGCCACAGGCGCCGCCGCCCCCGGGCACCCCAAGCCGGCACGAGAAGAGCTTGGGACTTCTCACCACCAAGTTCGTGTCGCTTCTGCAGGAGGCCAAGGACGGCGTGCTTGACCTCAAGCTGGTGCGGCCTGGGCTAAGAGGCGACCGGGAGGATGGTGGACCAGGCAGGCCTGGACCGGTAGTGGGAACCCCTGGGGCGGTCCAGCCGAGCCCTCAGGGAGCAAGCCGCCATCGGTGTGCTTTCTCACAGGAGGGAGGCCGGGAACTGTTTCATTCATTTGGTCGAGGCCATTGGGCGTCAGCTATGTGCCAGGCTCTGGGCTGCAGGTGCTGGTCCTCGTGGCCCTCCTCGGCTGGTGTGGGAAGGCATCAGAACATCAGTTCAGACTGTGCCAGGCCTCTTCCTGCCCCGCGGTCCTGATCTGCCGTGGCGCCTGGGAGGAGGGCTGGGACTCAGGCCACCCCTTTTTCAGATCGCTTCCAGACCAGATTTCAAGGTAGCTGGGGGGACACCTGAGAGTGGGGCTGAGTATCCTGCGCTCTGTTCTGTCTGCCAGGCAGCTGACACCCTTGCTGTGCGTCAGAAGCGGCGGATTTACGACATTACCAACGTGCTGGAAGGTATCGGGCTGATCGAGAAAAAATCCAAGAATAGCATCCAGTGGAAGTGAGTGGGGGCACCTGGGAGGGCAGTGGCATCTCTTACCCAGAAGTGTCAGGGGCGTGGGGAGGAGGACACAGGAGAGAGCAGGGGCCATGGGACCCAGAGTTCCTGGTAGCTCCTCAGCCTCACTCCCTGGGCTCAGGGGTGTGGGGCCTGGCTGCAATACCCGGGAGATTGCGGACAAGCTGATTGAGCTCAAGGCTGAGATCGAGTTGCTGCAGCAGCGGGAGCAAGAACTGGACAAGCACAAGGTGTGGGTGCAGCAGAGCATCCGGAATGTCACAGAGGACGTGCAGAACAGCTGATATCCTCCTGGCGGTCCCTGCTCCCGGGGAGTGGGCGAGAGGGGCCCTCTAGTCCAGCTGGGTTTGCTCTGTGGTACCCTAGACACTGTCCTGCTCGGGAGGATGATCCTGCAGCTCCTGGCCAGGTCCCTGCCTTGACCTCCCTCCTCAGACTCAAAGCCCCTTCCCCAACCATTCTTGGCCTGTGATCCTTCTCCATGTAGACCCCAGGCCTCCAGGATTTTCTCTGAAAGCTTGTATGTCAGATCTGTGCTAAAGAGCTGGGTTTTCTCTGTGGTCTGCCATCTGTCACCATAGGCAGGGCATCAGCCGTTCTCCTTAACCCCCACACCTTGGCCTACGTGACTCATGAGGACATCTGCAGATGCTTTGCTGGTGAGCAGAGCCTGGGTAGGGGGCAGTGGGGGTGGGGCTAGGCTGAGCCACAGCCCTGAGCAGTGGGCTCAGTGCCCAAGGAGAGTTTTGTTTCTTAAGAGGGTTCCTTGGGCTTGCCCAAAGAGGAACCAGGCAGGGTAAGTCCTGGGTTTGAGGGTCATTGGGACCCCATGGAGGCAAATCATACTGAAAGCGTACAAGAATTCTGGGCTGGGTCCCTGGGTCAGTCCCCATCTGCAATGTTTCCTGGGTTTGGCTTCTCAGGCATGACAGAGGCGTAAGGGGGACAGAGCAGGTGTGTACGCTCTTGCATGCTTGTATCCAGAGAACGATGGTGCTCACTTGCAACCTGTAGTTAGTTGTGTTATAGATACAGGAACTGTTCCTTCTTCATCTTGCATCCTCTAGACTGGTTTGGGGAAGGAAAATTGGCCTTGGCCTGAACATCTACACGTAGGGAGCAACCCCATCAATGAAGAAGTGAGATGCCCATGGCCAGCAATCCTTCGATCCACATGTTTGAACCCAGATTTTCTGGTTACTGACCCTTGGGCTCTTGGGGGGAGAAAAGCTTTAGTTTTCTGCCCCAGCCAGTGGGGGGTTGGGTGAGGTTTACTGTCCTAAGACACCATGATTTCCTTCTTTGCTCAAAGGGATAGGCATCCCCATTCTCAGATTAGATTGAGCCCATGGGCCCTGACCCATCCTTGTCATTCTAGGAGATACCCTTCTGGCCATCCGGGCCCCGTCGGGCACCAGCCTCGAGGTGCCCATCCCAGAGGTGGGTGCTCAGCCCAGGCAGGCGGGGTTGATTGAGGGCGGGTGCTGGCTGTGGAGCCCGATAAGTCCCGGGTGGGGCAGGTAGGGGGAGGCCTGGGTTTGGGGGTTATCTAGAAGAATGGGCAGCCTAGGATGGGAGAGGACACTGTAGCCCTGGCCCACGGTCAGGCAGGAGCCAAGCCTGCTTCTAATTCCACCTGTCCCCCATCCCCCACCCCTAGGGCCTCAATGGACAGAAGAAGTACCAGATTCACCTGAAGAGTGTGAGTGGCCCCATTGAGGTGCTGCTGGTGAACAAGGAGGCATGGAGCTCACCGCCTGTGGCAGTGCCTGTGCCGCCACCTGAAGATCTGCTCCAGAGCCCTCCTGCCGTCTCTACCCCTCCACCTCTGCCCAAGCCTACCCTGGCCCAGCCCCAGGACACCTCACGCCCAAGCAGTCCCCAGCTGACCACCCCCACCCCTGTCCCTGGCATCACCGAAGCCCAGGGGGTGCCCGGTCCAGCAGCTGAGATCACAGGTGAGGTATAACAGGCAGCTGGTGATGGGGTGATTTCTGGGGCCCAAAAGGCAGCGCCTCTGTGTTGTGGAATGTGTACTCAGAATTGGAAGAGACCTTGTGGGGGTTGTCCTTTTCCTGGTCTCCAGCTGGCCTCTCCTTGCTACGGTCGTGAATGAGCCCTTTTTTTTTTTTAACAGGGAAGTTCTGAATGTATGAAGGGGTATTAGTGGGGACTGTTTTCCCCGGGTCCACTTGTGTCTCTTTTCCCCTGGCAGCCCCTCTTGAAGCGTGGTCTCAGCAGCCATGTCATCATTGAGTCTCCCTCCTGCAGGCCTGAGGCCTCTGTCTTCGGGGGCTTATTTCTAGGTTATCTCTGTGTGGGGGACTGGCAGTGCCTCTCTCTCCTTGGGAACCGGGGCTCTTGTCATCCCAACTGTGGGTTCTAGCACAAAGCTTCAGTATCCTTCCTGCTCCCAAGTTGACTGGGTTTGGGGGATCTGGTTGCAGTGAGCGGTGGCCCTGGACCGGACAGCAAGGACGGTGGGGAGCTCGGCTCCCTGCCCCCAGGTCTGGCAGCCCTGGACACCCGGCCGCTGCAGTCCTCTGCCCTGCTGGATGGCAGTAGCGGCCCATCTGGACCCAACCCTTCTACCTCCTTTGAGCCCATCAAGGCAGACCCCACAGGAGGTGAGTGCATGTCCCCTGAGGGGCAGGGAGAACCCAGCCCCAGCCACAGCCGCTGCTAGGTCAGAAACACCTGGGGCTAGAAACCAGCTCGCCTGTCTCCTCAGCCAGAGCTGGCCAGCCCTCCCCCCCCCCCCCCCCCCCCCCCCCCATCAACCCTTGCCTTGACCCCAGAGCTCTGCCAGCCTAAGTGAGGAGCCTGGCTGCCAGCTCAGCACCGGTGCCCCTTTGCTCCCCATCCTGGGCTACCCACAACTCCTGGGCCCCTCTCAAGCCTTGCCTGCCTCCCTCTTGCACTTGGGGGTCAGGAAGGCATAACTGCCGTCCTGGGGAAGGAGCTCTGGTAAAGGCCCTTGGGCTCCAAAGGTGGGGGCAGTGCCTTCCCAGGGGAGGTGACATCATCTGCCTGGAGTCTTCGTTCCCTCCTGCGATTTGGGTCTTTGCGTCTTCCAGGACTCATTCTCCTTGGCCCACGAGCACTGCTCAGTCTCTTCTCACTAAGTGACCCTCTTGTGTTCCCTCTCTCTCGCACGTTCACTGTGTCGTTTCTGTCTGGACTCCTTGGGCAGGTCATCTCTATTCCATTCCGCGTCTTGGTCTCCTCGTCCCCCTCCAGGTTGCAGCATTCAGGACCCTTGTACCCCCCACCCCACAGGACGCTGGTGCTGCTCTGGAGACATTGCCTCGCCCTGACCGCTGCCTCCAGCAGGTTTCTGGGCTGATTCGCTCTGGTGCTCTCTTGCTCCATGGTGTCGCTTTCTAGCTCCTTTGGCATTTATGATGCCAACTTTGGCTCTTCTCTCTCACCTGCTTTTCTGTCCTTTCCTTCGCATGCCTTTATAAACATTGTGCTTCCCAGGTCTCTCTTGCACACCTGTGGAGGGCACCCATTCTGGGTAGATGAATCCCTAGCCTCTGGCTTGCCTAGGTCTTTGTCTGAACTCCACACCTGTGTCCATGTGCTTTCCTCTGCACATCTGATGGGCACTTCATTCCTGTATCATTAACTGAAGCTTGCTTTTCTATCTCTGTGTGTACCCTCCTACTGGCCCTGGTCCCTCAGGCCTGACACCTGCATGTCACTCCACTTCCATCTCCTCGCTTCTCCTCTCCACCTGGCATTAATTAAGTGAGTTTTGTCTCAGACATTTCCTGTCACTGGTTTCATGTATTCTCAACCCTTAGGGTAACTGCTGGCTACCTCTACCCTAAATTCTTCAGCATCTTTCTCTTTACCCCGACTGATAGGGATCTGTCTGAAACACAGGTTGAGTGTGGCATTTCTGTGTTTGCAAAGTACCTTTAACGCTTCTTAAGGTCTGCTGGATGAAACCACAGCCCCTACAGCTGGTATATGAGATCCTCGTGCGCCGGCACGCCTCTCCAGTTTCTTTTTCCTCTGCTTCCCATGTGCCTCCTCCCGGTCAGAGCTGTGTAGCAGACTTGTCACCCCATAGCACCATTCCCTATTAAGTGTCTGCCTCCTCCTCTGCCAAGTGCCCTGGTCCACGGTGTGGCCTTTGAGCCTGGCATTGAGCAGGTGCTCAACGAGGGCAGGCATGAGTGGGCATCTGCCGTCAGACAGGGTATACCTACTGAGCCCATCAAGGGAAGGCTCTGCTGCCTTCTAACTTCTGAGTTAGAAGGGCTGTATCAGTCATCTACGATGGGCCTTTCGTACCCCGGGTTCAGCACTAAGGAACTCACATCTAGCGGGGGAGACTGACAATGCCAGCTTGGCCTGGGGCAGGGCCTCCATTTCCTCACCTGTGTGGAGCCCCAAGACAGGTGGTATAACATCTGAGGAAGGTGGAGGCTAGAGTGGGACCAGACTGGATCTCTATGCCCTTGAGTATGGCTTTCTTGTCTTTCAGTTCTGGAACTCCCCAGAGAGCTGTCAGAAATCTTTGATCCCACACGAGGTAGGTCTGCATTCTTCCATGGGGTAAGGGCACAGCTCATTGGGTCTTACGGTTGTTTTCTCGCACTTCTGAGGACTTATGATTGTGCTTGGTACCTGGGCAAAGAGTAAAGCTCCTGATGGGTGGCTGGGGGGTCCTCTTCATGGGCTTTGGTGGGTGGAGAGCCAGGAGCCAAAATGTAACTGAGCTCTCTCTCCCTCCCCAGAATGCATGAGCTCAGAGCTGCTGGAGGAGCTGATGTCCTCAGAAGGTGGGTAGCCCAGGAAGGTGGGAGGTGGGGGGAGGCAAGGGGGTTGGGCAACTGCTGGGGGGGCGGCCTTGGCCCAGAGCCTCAGCCTGGTGCTCTCTGCAGTGTTTGCCCCCCTCCTCCGCCTTTCTCCACCCCCTGGAGACCACGATTACATCTACAACCTGGACGAGAGTGAAGGTGTCTGTGACCTCTTCGATGTGCCTGTTCTCAACCTCTGACTGACAGGGACATTCCCTGTGTGGCTGGGACACAGACTGTGTGACCTGGGGGCTGCCTGAGGACCTCCCTCACTCTACCCCTACACAGCTTGAGAGCCACAGACTCCTGGCTTCCCCAGGCTTCCCTCACTGCAGTTCCGACCACGACTCCCACTCCTGCCCGAGCACCTGTACCGTGCTAGGAAAGCAGGGGAAAGGGGCTCAGCCCCCTTCACCATAGAGCCAGAGTGTTTGCCTCTTCTTTTCTGGGGCTTTCCCCCACCTCATGCCCTCTCAGAGCCCAGGCTCTCTGCCACTCAGTGGCACAGAACTGAAGACCTGCCATCGTCTGCATGGGGCAGCTTGTCCAGCCCCACTGCCCTGTTGCAGCCAATGCCTCCCACTCTGAGGAGGGAAGCCTGGGGTGGAGCCAGACGCTTGCCAGCACCATCCCTAGCCTCCTTCACTTCTTTCCACCCTGGACCTCTCCCCTGTACACCCCATCTGCTGGGCCCTTAGCCCAGAGTACCTATAGGTGGTGTGGAGGGTGGGGTGGGGGGCTGCTAACAGGAAGGAACAGAGAGGTCTTTAGCTAGAAATCTGGGCGGGTGAGCCCCTGAGGATTGGCCCAATCTCCTGCTGCCCTGTAGGCCCCCCCCCCGTTTATTCATTTGCCCTCATTTAGAGCCATTTGCAGAGATTTAGAAAGATTTGCAGTAACGAATGGATTCCTATATAAAGATTATTTTTATACTTTTTGCAGCAAAAGGAAATTGTAATATTTGTACAGTATCCAAGTGAATAAAGACCATGCCTAAGGCTATCTCTGATTTGGTTCTTTCAAGGCCCCTCCCTGGAATTCTGGATTGGTGGTGGGACCGGGCGGGTTACCTTTCTTGGAAAGGGAGGTGTGGCTGCTCTGGCATCCCGCCCGCCCCGCCCCCACCTGGCGCACCTTGGGGCGGGGCGGGGCCGCCGGGGTGGGGCGGGGCGGGGCAGGCGCCTACCCACGGGACTCCAACCCGGAACTAGTCTTGGCTCCCTTGGGAAGGCCGCGGCCCCCTGAACAGAGGGACGTCCTCGTTCTCGGAGGCAGCAGACCAGGCGCGCCCTTAGCCGGAGCTTGGACGGTCTGGAAACTACAGGCGCCCCTGCCCTGGCTGGACCATGGCGCCCCCGCGGAACGTGGTGAAGATCGCGGTCCAGATGCCTGAAGCCATCCCGCAGCTCATCCAGCTGGACCAGGTCACTCGGCCTGTCTGGCCTCCTCATTCACCCCACCAACCCCCTCCGGGTGGCCCCCTTCCCCTCGGAACCCCCAGGGTCCTCCCCAACTCCTCCCCACACCCGCCCCTTGAGTGACCTGTCCACTTGCAGGCAAAGCCTCTGGCCGCTGTGCTGAAGGAGGTGTGCGACGCGTGAGTGCAGGCTAGCCAGGCCCGGGAGGAGGGTGGGGGATGGGAGGGCAGGAGGGAGGGGCGCCCTCTACCGGCCTCACTGAGCCTCCGCTCCTCGCAGGTGGAGCTTGGTTCACTCAGAACGCTACGCCCTGCAGTTTGCTGATGGACATAGGAGCTACATCACTGAGAACGTGAGTCTCCCCCGCCCCCCCCCCCGCCAGGTCCATATCCCACTGTGCGACACCCCCCCACTTCTAACCCACCTGATCTTGATCCCTCAGACTCATCCCCCTGTCTGGAATGTGATCTTTCTTTTCCGGACTCCCGAACCCTCCCTCACCAGCAACCCGGATTACTCAATCCTCAGAGCCCTTCTTGACTTCTCCCCCTTTCTCTCCATCTTCTCCAGAACCGCACAGAGATCAAGAATGGCAGCATCCTGTGCCTCAGCACTGCCCCAGTAATGCCCTTCCTGACCCCACCCTCATTCCCTGCCCTTATTTTATGCCTCTTTGCCGCCCACCCTCCTCTCTGCCCAGATCAGGAGGGCCCCGGCCCCAGCTCCGCGGTGCCCCACCTAGTGGACATCTGAGTCCCCACACCTCCAGTTCCTGCGCCTTACTTCCACCCAGCCTCCTCACCTTTCCCACCCCTGCCCAGGACCTTGAGGCTGAGCGGCTGTTGGGTGGGCTGCAGAGTGGGAGTCGTGAAAGGCGCCGAGAAGCTCTGCAGCACCTCGTCTTGCTGGCCCCGGACGTGACCTTTGCCCAGGAGGTCATCAGCCGTGATGGGCTTCAGAGACTAGGCACCATCATTGAGGATGGGGATGAGTGAGCACAGGACTGTGGTTTGTGGTGGACATGGTGGGGCTGGGGGTCCTAGTCTGGCCCTGCTCAGCCCCAGATGTCCCCCCAGCTTAGGGGAGGTGCTGACCCTTGCACTGAGGGCCTTCTTGGAGCTCATGGAACACGGCATGGTGTCCTGGGAGACGCTCAGCATCCCCTTTGTTAGGAAGGTGGGTTGGCTTTTCTAGGGGCAGCAGGTGGGGGCAGTGAGATGGTGTCAGGATCTGGCCTTCCCTGGCGGTGAAGTGGTAGCAAGCCCCTACCCCTGTTACAGGTGGTGTGCTACGTGAACATGAACCTGATGGATGCATCTGTGCAGCCTCTGGCCCTCAGGCTGCTAGAGAGTGTGACCTTGAGCAGTCCTGCCCTGGGCCAGCTGGTCAAGAGTGAGGTACCCCTGGATAGGCTGCTGGTCCACCTACAGGTGTAAGTGTCTGGGGGTGGGGGTGGAATACCAGGTGAGGGGCATGGAGCCAGACCCTGGATAGCCTGTTGAGCCCTCCTCTTCTTGCCCCAGGATGAACCAGCAGCTACAAACCAAGGCTATGGCATTGCTGACAGCCTTGCTCCAGGGGGCCAGCCCTGCTGAACGCAAGGTGAGTGTCACATCTGGTGGCTGGACTGCAGGAGGTGGAGGGTGGGGGGTGGAGCCTGCGCAGGAGCTGGTGGGCACTGTGCTCCATCCCGGAACTGCAGGATGGCTGCTCGTGGTGGGGCTAAATCATCTAAGCCCCCTTCCCACTTACCTCAGCACATGCTTGACTACCTGTGGCAGAGAAACCTTCGCCAGTTCATCTATAAGGTAGGAAGGACTGGGCTAGGCAGACCCCTCCCCACTTTTCCTCCCCCAGTAAGCCTCCGCTCACACCTGTGGACTGGCTGTTCTCCAGAACATCATCCACAGTGCAACACCATTGGGCGACGAGATGGCTCACCATTTGTATGTACTGCAGGCCCTTATGTTGGGGCTGCTGGAGCCACGCATGAGGACGCCACTGGACCCCTACAGCCAGGTGGGTGCCTTTGGGGAACACGAGGCTGGGGAAGCTAGAGCGTGGCTTTGAGTGTATGATCCTGACGCCCCCTTACCCCACAACAACGACCCCAGGAACAGCGGGAGCAGCTGCAGGCCCTGCGCCAGGCTGCCTTTGAGTCGGAGGGGGAGTCCCTGGGCACCGGGCTGAGTGCCGACCGCCGCCGTTCCCTGTGTGCCCGCGAGTTCCGAAAACTGGGCTTCTCTGTGAGTAACCCCTCCCTAGCCCCCCACCCCTGCCTCAGCCCAGGGCTGCTGTTGTTCCAGAGGCCTGGGGCCCTTACTGAGCTGCCCGTCCTGCTTCCCCCAGAACAGCAACCCTGCACAAGATCTAGAGCGCGTGCCCCCTGGCCTGCTGGCCCTGGACAACATGCTCTACTTCTCCAGACACGCACCTAGTGCCTACAGCCGGGTCGGTAATCGGGTGGGTGGGATATGGCCGGGTCCCCATGGCCTTAGCTGAGCGCCCCGTCACATTTGCTCTTTCTGCCGCCCCAGCTAGTGTTGGAGAACAGCAGCCGTGAGGACAAGCACGAGTGCCCCTTTGCCCGGAGCAGCGTCCAGCTGACCGTGCTGCTGTGCGAGCTGCTCCGCGTCGGGGAGCCCTGTGAGCAGGCTTGGGTGCGGCGCGGCTGGGAGCGGGGGCCGAAGGGCAGAGAGGGCCAGGGGCTGCGCACGCCTCTCCCTGAGCCCCTCCTGCCCCCCTGCTCCAGGCTCCGAAACAGCCCAGGACTTTTCGCCCATGTTCTTCGGCCAAGACCAGAGTTTCCATGAGCTCTTCTGTGTGAGCATCCAGCTGCTGAATAAGACCTGGAAGGAGATGCGAGCCACCCAGGAGGACTTCGACAAGGTGGCTGGGGTGAAGGGAGGAGACCCGGGCCAGGGCAGGGGCTGTTCTGAGTAGGGACCCCCGAGTGCAGCCCTGAGTGGAACTGGGTGGCTCCAGGTCATGCAGGTGGTGCGGGAGCAGCTGGCCCGTACGCTGGCCCTGAAGCCCAGCTCCCTGGAGCTTTTCCGAACCAAGGTGAATGCGCTCCCCTATGGGGAGGTGCTGCGGCTGAGGCAGACGGAGAGGCTGCATCAGGAGGGCACGCTGGCCCCTCCCATACTGTGAGTTGCTGGGAGTGGGTTCCAGTCCTGGCCCCACCTGCCCCGGTGCCCTACGGGCCTTGCCCCAGGTCAGTCTCAGTCAGCAAGCCTACCCCTTGCCCCCCAGGGAGCTACGGGAAAAGCTGAAGCCAGAGCTCATGGGCCTGATCCGCCAGCAGCGTTTGCTCCGCCTCTGCGAGGGGACACTCTTCCGCAAAATCAGCAGCCGGAGGCGCCAGGGTGGTTGAATGGGCAGGGGTTGGCAGAGAGCGGCTGGGTTGGGATCAGGGCCCCTCTCGTCACTCCTTCCCTCTTCCCTTTCTGCTCACAGACAAGCTGTGGTTCTGCTGCCTGTCCCCCAACCACAAGATGCTGCAGTACGGGGACGTGGAGGAGGGCGCCAGCCCACCCACCCTGGAGAGCCTGCCTGAGCAGCGTAAGGACGATGGGGCAGGGGTCCGGGTCAGCCACCTGCCCTCCCGAGACCACCCCCTGTCCGGGGACCGCCTGAGTCCCAGTGGTCAGCCTGGCCTTCTTCCCGCAGTCCCTGTGGCCGATATCAAGGCACTCCTCACAGGCAAAGACTGCCCCCACGTCCGGGAGAAGGGCTCAGGGAAGCAGAACAAGGTGAGTGCAGTGGAGGCCAGGGGCTCCTTCCCACCTGCACCTGCCCTGCTCTGTTCCCCGCTCAGCACTCTCCGCTGCCTGCCTCCCCCAGGATCTCTATGAGTTAGCCTTCTCCATCAGCTATGACCACGGGGAGGCGGAGGCATACCTCAACTTCATCGCCCCATCCAAACGGGAGGTGAGTGTCTGGGCCAGGCTGAGCCAAGTGGGGCAGATGGGCCCAGGAAGAGATGGGCAGGCCCTCACGGAGCTGGCCCCATCCCCAGTTCCACCTATGGACAGATGGGCTGAGCGCCCTGCTCGGCGGTCCCATGGGCAGTGAGCAGACTCGGCTGGACCTGGAACAGCTGCTGACGATGGAGACCAAGCTGCGGTTGTTGGAACTGGAGAATGTGCCCATTCCCGAGCAGCCGCCTCCTATCCCCCCGCCCCCCACCAATTTCAACTTCTGCTATGACTGCAGCATCACTGAGCCTTGACAGTGAGGTTGGCCGTGGGCCACAGCTTGCTGGCATCGGTGGCCGTGAAGGGTGGAGGGTGGTAAAACCCAGACACCCTGACCAGCAGAGGCTGCCGCAGAAATAAAGTCTGCTTGACTCTTGGGTGTGTGTTGAGCCAGTTCTGCAACTGTGGGCCAAGCCTGCCTTCAAATTTAGCTGGCAAATGAGATGGGGCATCAGACCAAGGTCACTGCTTGGGGCCACAAACCTGGGCGGCCGCAGTTGAGGGGCTGGTGTTGTGAAGGAGGGGCTGGATATAAGCTGACCCTATTGTCCTCCCACAGGATGAGTCGTCAGCCTTCCTCGGTGCTGGGCCTGCAGAGAGGGAT